TTTCCTTTCCTTTTTCCTTTCCCTGAAAAGAGCTTTTTCCTTTCACTGCATTGCTGTATTCAAACACAATTATTTCTTTGGGTCTAGACACTGATAAAGTGAGGGATTTGTAATGATGAGATTATAGGGTTTTTTAAACTTTTTTTTTTCCTCCAAGTGTACTGAAGAAGCAAAATACTCACCAAGTATCTCTTTTGCAGCAAAAATGAAATGGAAAAGAGATCATTAATTGAATTGTCAGTTTAAAATGTATGTGGTAAAAGTCAGGCAYGTGGCATACTTGATTCATATAACCCTGATTTTCTGCAAGAAGCAGAAGAAAGTCTATGCATAAAAAGTCACTGATGCTGTTTACGAGTGCAGAGCAGCTCTTCTGTACAAATGCCCTGTAAACTCTAAGGCTTTGCTAATGTTTTGTGAATAGCATTTGTTTTTATCACATTTCTTATGTTAAGTTTTAACATCAAAYGGATATTCAAGTATCAAATCTGACATATGACATGGAAACACAAGAACAGCAGACTTCACGGGAAAGCAAAGGAAAATTCTTAGCAATTGACTATAAATCTGTAGCATTCTGAGTGAATTTCTAAACTTCTGGAAGTGAAATGATTAAGCCTAACTTCTGGAAATGAGTGGTTAAGCTTTCTAATGAATAGGAACTTACAACACCCAAAAAGTGCTCCCCAAGGAAGGACAGTAATAACAAATCCAGCAACAGAAAATTTAGACTAGCGCTCCATGCTAGTCTAATCTCTTCACACTAATGTCAAAAATAATGGTCCCACAGGCTTGAACAGAAATAAAGTCAGGCCAGTGCAGAATGCATTTAAACAGCCCTCTATGACACATTAGTAACATCACTTGTCACCTCTATAGATTGGTGTTTCTTTTTTGTTGCCAATCTTCTTTTATAGAAAGGCAAAGTGACCCCTCAGAAGTTCCTCCATCAGATTAACCACCCATTAATAATTATTTCTTGCATTGTTACAAATGTGCTTTAGACATGTTTCTTATTTAATCGAAAATTCTCTGTGGCACCCATAAAACAGAAAAACCGTGCAGTCTTTCTCTGTGTTATTACTCAAAGGTGGAAGAACACTGAAAAGGCAAGGCAGTATAAAATGCAGAGAATATTTGTCCTCATTTAAGGTAGAAACTACTGAAAAAAACACCATTTTGTTGCCAGAATTCTTCCATCCAATGCATATATAAAAACCTTTTTGCCTGTATTCTTGCCCGGAGCTGTTTCTCACCTCTTATCTTCTATTACATTTAAAAATAAAGATCACATCAGCAAGAAGGTATTCTCCATGAAATACTGCAGCATATCTTTCCCCTCAGGTAATTCCTGTGAACTACCCTGTAGATCATGCTACCTCCACAACCTCCTGCTTTGTCACTCATCTATCATCACGCACAGTAGAGTGATGTTGCTTTCACTCTACTGATAAAGAGAAGCTATATCATAAAGCAAAATAAATGGTTACTCATTCTCACATTCAATCGCTCTAAATTATAACCGTGTGTTTGGGAAGAAGGGAAGGTGTTAATTTCCCAGCAAAGATTTGGAACAGACCCTGCTCGGTCACGTACTGCCTCTTTGCCTTGCCTTGCCTTCCCCACATGCATTCACCTCATTTGCAGCAGCCTGGTTTTCCCTCCCCACTATCTGTCGCCCTGCACCAAGGACTTTGAAGGCCTCCGGGCGACGTGAAGCAGAGGCTTCTGTTTCAGCTTCATGCTCCCTGTCTCTTCCCATTCCTCTTAAAGACGGCCAGAATCTGTCCCGTGAAATTATCATTGACTCTCCAACAGAGCCAGGCTTTTATAGCACACTCAGTAGCATGGCACGGCAGCAAATCCATCTCTAAATGATATATTCCAGAGCACAATGTGCCCCCATTACGCTGCTATAAAGATGTGCATTGATTTGAACTAATCATCAGTGTAACAAGGACTTGAAATGAAATATCTGTCAGAGGCACCTCGCATTTTAAAAGYAGAGCACCCTTTTCTGCCTTGGAAAAGTCCCATTATGCATATTCCACCAAATGAGACAGACCATCAGCATGATTTATCCTTAAAATATTAATTAGCTTAATTGTCAGTGTATCATACAGCCCACAACGGCCCATGGGCCCTCATCCTTACAGATGCTACATAAAAATGTTCAGTATTGACAAAAATAAATACATGTAATAATTACAAATAGGAATAGTTTCAGTATCTAGTAAGCTGGATATAAAGCATGCAAACACAATTATAATGGCTGTTGCCTGAAAGGCTTCAAAGGGGTGGGTCTTTGCTTAAGAAATATTACAGAATAGTCTCAAGAGAAATACTTGGAAGACCGTATTTTTGGATTTTTTTTCCACAAAATCTCCAAATTTTTGCAAAACTTTTTTTCCTACCAATGTTTTGATTTTTCCTGACCTCTGGACAATTTAACTTTTTCATTTTCTTTTAAGAAACCAAAGAGCAAAGGTAACAAACTGATTGATGAGAAAATCTGAGTAACTGCTAGCACAAATGGTGGATACATTTCAGAGAAAAAAACTCAGGTGTGATGGTTTCCCCACCGTGTACAGCTGTATTTTCTCTGTGCTTTGAGTTGCTTGATTCCTGCAGAGAAAAATGGATGGACCAAACTAATTTCCCAAACACTACTTTTGCTTCCCTAAGATATCAGCATGTAAAGATGATGGAACCTTTCCAAATTACATCATACTTAAAAGACACCAGTCTTGGGCAGAAGCACATGGCTAGTCTTCACAGTCAGGTGAAATCACAGTTCYACTTATGTCAGTGAGAATTGACACAAATTTCATCTAAATTGGCTTCACTTTTTTTCTGGTGCCTCACTGTAAGACATCCATGAGTTACACTTAAGTTTGGGTTCTCTAGATGACAAAGCAAATGTCCTAAGTATGAATATATGCCAAAGWGCTAAATACTGGAACTACATCAAACTGCACGGATATTTCTTCTCCTAGGGGAAGGAGGATACACAGACATTGTGCCCCAGGATTTGCGTAGTTCATATGTACATATTCCACTGTTATTTCAGGTTAAGTCACACAGAAGAACACTTTCATCCCRAACACCTCTCTCAGTGAATTTGCATTTGCGATGCACTAAACTTGATCTGACTCAGTTGCCTTGTTCTGTGTTCAGTGTTATGTCTCCTAGGTGTAAGCAGCACCTCAGACAAAGCTTATTTCTCTACAGCACACAGATACTTACACAATATGAGCCAGGTTTAGAGGTTTTTCAGGCTGGTCAGGGAACATTGGGTGCAAAGGTTCACGGCTGGAAGCACAGCTTAAAGACTTGCTAAGTGCATTAGTTAGCTTCTTAGCAGGTGATTTCTGGGAGGAACAAGGAAGGAAGAGGTAATCTGGACAAGTAAGGTGCAAACTTTCTACTAAAGGAAGCACAGAACAACAGGTAGCTCTACTGCTTATATCTATACAGTCTTATACCCTTCTTTTCCCTTYCCCACCAGCGCCCAAGAGTGTAGGAAGTCCAGGACCACGCAGCCTGGTTGCACATTACTCTTACCTTCAGTGGCCCCTAAGGTAGGCTCTGGGAGGTATATCTATATGGAGAGATGCAAGTTCTTTGCAGTGCTGTGTCCTGGGTAATATTCAATAGTGAAGGACAGCATAGGGTTAATGTCTTCTGGACTGGAGCTGGCTTGTACCTTGCCAACTTCAGAGTGCAAGCTTAAGAAATTTATGTCTGTCCATATAGATGTACTGCAGGAGACACAGTTTCCTTTCTGATTATGGGACAAATACGAGGCTGTTATATTCTTTCCTTCCTCAGTGCCCTCTATTTGCTAGCTGTTGATTTTCAGATCTCTCCTCTTGTCTCTCCTAGAAGCCCCTCCCCAATGGGGACAGGGAAATCTCACACACAACACGGCCCACAGYAAGCAAGAAGAGGCTGAAATAGCTGCATTATCAAAAAAACCTAACAGGCTCTGTGCAAAAAGCTTGCTTTTCACATTCTCAAACCCTGCAAGTCTAAAACAAATCATTTTGGCTTTCTAACTTTGTCTAGACCTTCTTTACAGTTCACGCTAATAGAGTAGCCATCTTCCATCCTCCCAATCACAGGTCCTTTCCTGTGATCCYGGGATCAAAGAGATCTTTCATCTCTTCTAAGCTCTGTGAGAGATTCCCAGGGCATTCAACACAGCTCTCAGATTTCAATCCTCCACCAGTAAAACCGGGGCTAATGATTCCTATGCTGGATCCTGCCCCAAAATACAACTCAATGTGCTGAAATGCTGAGATATTTTTAGAGCTTAACAGGAATGGCATTACAGATGTAGACACATCCGATGAAGTTATTACTATAATCAAGATAATAATGAAACACATCTATTACAGAACTCCAATCTAAATAAGTAAAATGCAGGCTTTCTCTCCTTTCCATTACAAATGCCATTTCYCTCTGAACACGGAGCAGTCAAATTCCCCTGCGTGCACACGCACACTCAAGCTCGATACAGCAGCTTGATGGGGAGCACTAACCTGTTGGGAACAAATGCTAATAGACACTCTGTTAATAACATATAAACGCTCTAGAAATGCAATTTCAAACTGGAAGGAAAACATTTGTTTCCAACATCAAAATCCTTGGAAGCACAAGGCAGTCATGTTTCAGCTTTTGCAGAGTAGAAATGCTACCTTTTGAAATGATTTTTTGCCTATAATTACAGGTCCCTGGCTACAGCCCCTGGCCTTACAGCACAGATTGCTGCTAGGGGTGGAATAAGAGCTGTGTGGCAGGCACGTCCCCGTTCAGACACTGCACTCCAGTCCATCGAGTCTAGGCAACAAGAAGCAATTAGGACCCCGGGGCACACTGATAGACCCAGATCTGCCAGGAGGCAGAGCAGGGCCCCGTGACAGGCATGCAGAGCGTGCCTAACTTTAACCTTTGCTTGCTCCAGCAACGACAGGCACATCAGGGTGGCAGCGATTTGTGAACTTTGCTAAAAAATGCGTGCAAAGTCCTGTGCGTGCATGAGTTCTGACTGCCTGCATGATGCCCCTTTTTTTGTAACTATGTTTTTGTCCTTTTTGCGGGTTTCTCTGCTGATGATCCCTAGCTTTGGTCCCTGCAGGATGGCGTTTCCCAGGGCCCCGGGCTTCTCTTTCTGCTGGGGCTTTGCTCCCAGGCACGGAGCGCTGAGCACCCACAGCAGGTGCCGGCTCAACRAGGAGGCGGACGAGGTTGCGGATCCTTTGCTGCCATCTGAGCCAAAGCACGGAGCTATTCTGTCCAGGGAGGAGGAAGCGGCGCTTGCCCGGAGCACACGCCGCGCTGGCTCTGCYGCCAGGCGCCTGCCTAACGCCGCAGCCGCGCGAGGGGGAACGYGGCGGCTGCGAGAGCCTGCGCGTCACGGCCCCGCGGAGGGGACAAACTCACCGCGGCGCCGGGGGCTGCCGGCGGCCCCGCTCTGCCCCGGCCCCTCGGCTCGGCGACGCGGCGCGCGGGGATGGCGGCGGGCGGGCGGGCGCGGGGGACGCGGCGCGGGCCTGCCCTTACCCATGACGTGTACTCCTTCATCTGGTGCTGGTTGCTGTGGGAACCGCTGGCGTGGCCTCTCCAGAAGCAGTCCTGGCAGAGCTGGTAATTGTGGCACTGCTGGCAGCGGTAGCGAAAGCCCATCATGCTCTCGCTGTGGCAGTACGAGCACTCCACGGGGTGGAAGACTGCGCGGGGAAACAGGGCGCCGTGAGGCCCGATGGAGGCACCACCACCACCACCACCACCACGCTTCCCGAGCAGGGCCCCCATGGCGCAGCCAACCCGCCCCTTGCTCAGGGGGAACCATTTCGGCAACCATTGCCACGGCCCCGACCCGCAGAGACGTCCCTGTGAGAGCTCCAGGGGATTTATTGAGGTTTTCTTATGTATGGAAGTCATTCAGCGACTCCTTCCACCAAGCACAAAGCTTTGAACCCTGATGGTACTGCTCCTTCTCCTCCTCTCTCCTCACTACAGTATGTACCACATTTACCGGGGTAAATCATGTACCATCTCCTTTCTCCTGKGCACCCTCTGTTTTTCTGTCTTAGGGCTCCATCTGGGAGGATCCGTGGTAAGTGCAGAGTGTGTCAGGTTTATGTTTCCCTGCTAGGATTTTGCAGCACAAAGAGGTGGGAAATGGTGGCAAGCCGATGGGGGACAGGGCTGGGTGACAAGGCCTTGAGGAAGGTGGGATTGACAGCTGGGATTGTGGACAAAAAGGAGTCGACCACATCCTCTACCCACCTTGTTGCCTCTTATTGCTGTGGTGATTTGGTACCTGAATACAACTTCCTTTTTACCCTTCCAACATCAAAAAAAATCTAGGTTCCCCCACTTTCCTATATAGCCCCATATTCTTGTTGATAGTACAGTATAACTATTTTTATTTTCCATCAGTGGGAGTGTATATGACATTGCCTGCCTCCTATCCCTGTGTCTTTTTCCCCATAGTGTCCCAAAGTTTCATGCTTTGCTGGAGGTAAACTTGCAAGGGAGTAACAAGCCAGGAATATTCAAAAAGCACCTTATACAAGCTTACACAACCTCTGAGGCAAAACACGGGGAAGCAAAATTGTTTGTTTAAAAAAAGCCTATTTATATTTCTAAATTAATATTTTAATATGAATATTTTTACATTTTCTGTATAAATGTCAYGCACACACACTGCAGGAGTTCCAGAGGTTTTCTAGCTCTGCCCCTGCAGTTTCAATGTGGTAACATAGACCGTGTCCTTCTCCAGAGACAGGCCATGAAGGTTTGGCTGCAAGGCCTCTACATGCATGAGTCCATGAGACCACTTCTTCCCAGGGGCTCCAGATAAAGCTGCAAGGCTGAGAAAGATGTTGTTGTCCATGAATATGCAACCTGCACGATGCAGTAATCAAACCAGTTGATCTTCCTGGTCCCTTCCTGCCATAAAATCAGCTATTTACTCATTCTGAAGAGGGGAAATACATGAGCAGAAAGAGATAGTCAAGCCCTTATCCTCCACAGAGCAAAAGATAAGGAGGAATCTGGAATTCTTTGCTCCTTTTCTGAGTATATTGTCTGGTAGTTTGGCTTAGGAGGGGATCCTTCATAAGGACCTTTTGGCTGATATTTTACACTGTGTTGGACTTCTCCTGCCAAGTATATTGCATGAACGGAAAGTGCCAAGCTGCTCCTTCTCTACTGCCATATGTCCTAGCTAATAAAAGCTGTGGTCTCGATTGTTGGCCACGTGTAAGTGTGCGCATGAATTGAGTCCTATCTCTCTTTACTTATCCAAAGCACAGGAGGAGAGGACATGGTCAGGGCAACTTCTTGAGCACAAAAAAAGCCAACTCACATTCCTGGCTGAACCATCAACGGGATTCTTTAAATGTTTTACCCCAACTGTAAAAGTGGCACATGGATTCAATGACCACAGTACAGGAGCCCCTACAAACTACTCACAGAGTTAAAAAAAAAATTGCAAAAAGCTTTACTGCTGCAGCTCTTACCATTTTGGGCAGCTGTTACTTACCATTTTCAACATTTGCCAGTCGATGCAGAAGTGGTAACCACACTAGACACTGTGGCGGGGGATCAGACATGAGAGTATCCAAGAAGGTGTTTAATGTGACCTTTTTCTGCTCAAATMAGCAAACAAACACAAAAAAAAGAGTAATCAGACAAATCAAAATGATTTTAGCTTGTTCTTACAAAAAAAAAGGACATTTGATTTACTAAAAACAGTTGATATTGCCAAAGACTTTACACACTATTTTTAATCATTGCAATGTCTCTTAATGATAACTCATGGACAAGCAAGTCCTTGTCATGAGGCTGAGACAGTGGCATTTAGATTTTATTTGCTTCAAGCATCTCTTCTAAAGCCATTAGTTAAACATCCTTTGTGAATAATAGTCACATTCAGTTTTTCAAGTTCTTAAATATTTTGTGTACTAAATAACAAATACCTGTGCATATAGGTATTACTACGTAATGCCAATTTTCAAATGAGAAGCACTACAGACAATGACTGATACTATTCCAACAGAAAAAAAAATGAAAGAAAACAATGAGCAGGAAGTATAACTTCAGAAACAGTGTAGGGTTTGGACAGACCATCACAGGAGAATGAGTTGGTGTGATTTAAGCAACTACAGCTTCTCTGTTGAGTCATAGTAAATGGTCATGSGTGAGCTCTGGCTGTGGGTCACTGCAAGCATTTGCCTACACATAAAAGGGCCTGAAGCTGACTTGACTGCTCATGACCTGTTGTATCCTTAAGCACTTAAAAGTCTGCATCCCGTTGTCTTGAACTGAGACTTTAGTTCTAAAATACCCCTGTTGATTTTAAAAGTGGAATCCAATAGCTCAGGTTTCTTAGATGTTGGGAAAAATACATCACAAATCTTAGTGCAGTTGCTTTTTGAGACATATGTGATACTTCGTCCTGATATGTCTACCATACATACTTTCTCCTTCCTATGTGATATGCTAGCTAAAGAGCACGTACTAAAATACACAGTTACTGGTTGGTCAAGGATGGGGAATCCTTAGAAAAACAGCAGCTAGAATTAAGATATAAAAAAAATAGACCTCTGATGAGAATGTCTACAGATATACTCTATAGTCATAAATATTTARGTAAGTAGCATGCTCATATCCAGAAAGATTGCTAAATATTCTTATCTGATTGCACAAGATGCTGCTTTAACTTGTTAAAGTAATGTGGTTACCCCATGAGAAAGAAAAATCAGCAGCTATGCACCAGCAGGTATCGGCTCTGTGTTGTGGAGGGCTCTTAAGATAGATTTACAGCATTTACAGCATTTATATACAAATGCAGCCAAACACAAAGAAAAACATTGTTTTTACACACGCAGGAATCACTSCACAACATCTCACTCCGTTTCAGGGTTGAAATATGGGAAGCAATTATTGGGAAATTGGGAAAAATAGACAAAGTCCTAAGGAAGAGACACTTCAGACTAGTTGCAATGATCAGTGTTCCTGAGTTTTAATAAACAGAAGCAGCCAGAATGTTAGCTTTTGTTCTCTATGAAATACTCTATTTTCTCACAAAACCTGCAGTAYGCAATCCCAAACACATACTAGTCCTATAAGAGTAATATCGAAGCTGTACCAGTCCCACAACCTGTGTCAACGTAGTACCTACCGTCTGCTTCTCATGCAAATGGTCTTCCCGTCTTTGGAGAGAGGATAAACATCTCCCTAATAAGAATCCTACTCTGTAAGTATCAACTCACAGAAAAGGATCTTTCTGGTGGGGATCTACAGTGGATGTTTGGCATGGCTTTGCTGGCCCTTACCATTCTGCAATGTCAGTGTTGTCTGCAGCAGAACTGAAAACTGAGGGCAAAAAGGCAAAACTAAAATTAGAAAAGGGTCATCCCATGTCCCATACTGCAAAGAGTTGCCCGAAGTCTTCTCTGCTCTTGAAGTCAGCACAGAACTGCTCTAACAATCAATGGGGAGACAAGACAGCCCTTCCACTGGGAAGAGATGGATTAAATTTTGAATGTAGYTATAATTTAAAATCTGATTTGCACTAAATAAAGCAACTGGGCTTCTCTGACAGTTTTATGGCCAAGCTCCATTGGTGGTCACAGGTTTTATGGATTAGAGAGAGCAGCGTCCCTTAAAAGGACACCAGCAGAGTAATTTCCATGCATTAYAAAAGGCATATTTTTCTCCTTCAGTTTTTTATCAGCTTCTGAGAAAGTCGAAACTGAAAGCTGTTTTCTAAATATGTGCTGCATGCAGATGGAGTCTGGGTTTGCAGAACAACACTTAGCCAAGTGATAACAAAATGAAGCTAGTGTCTATCTTTTTAGCTTGGAATAAAAAAAAAAGAAAAGAGAGAAAGAAAAAGTATTTTCTATTGTAACAATACTTTTCAGCACGAAGGCAATGTAATATCACATTCATTTTATTCATGGGGGAAAGTGGTGGCTATAAAATTCCTTTTTGAGCTCCAGATCTTTATTCTGAAACATTAAATCACTTGTTCTGGCTTTTTGGTTCCGTAAATTTGCTTATGAGGAAACATTGTAGTTTCTGTTTTGAACAATCATTACCTCTAACAGTGGTTCACAGAGAGAGGAAAATACATAGTTTAATCAAATAAATCACTGCAATGGGAAACAACCAAACATTTCTCACACAGAACGCAAATTGAGAGAGACTTCACATGCTGAGCAGAAAATCATTCACAGATTATTATTCCTGAAAAKTGAGGAATCTGCATATTGAGAGCTGAAAGGCATTTGATGGGCAAGAGTGATCAACACTGAGAGCAAACAAAAGGGATATCTGAGCAACCCACTCACTCCCCCTTTCTCTCCATGGGTGGACACTGCCTAGATCCAGTCTGACTCAAAATGCACTGAAATATCATACTAGAAAAGGAGATTCACACACGTGTGAGAGGGCTCACGTGCTCACACACACACACAGAGTGTGTGCATTCAGTCAGTACGTGTATGAGCAAATGTTCTGTTCTCGCGATGTCAGCGTGTAGGTTTGGAAGCAGACACGCAAGTTTTTCCATGAACAACCACAGTACCAATAATCTTCAAACATTATTATGTAAGGAAAAATCCTGTACTCAGAAATGTGTGATATTTGTTTCTATTTTATCTAACCAAATGAACTCCACTGGAATACTTGAATTCCATGAACGCTCAGAACAACATAGGAGGTGTCAAACTTATCCCAAGGTATCAATTTTTGATAATGTTGAGCATGATATGTAAGACTGAATGACCTATGGTATGACCAAGACTCCGTGGGTATCACTTATCACAGTGTCTTAGGGGATGGTTTTTAGTCTGATTTCAAAGCTCTGTTTTATGCCTGGTGGAGCASATTATGAGAATTAAATTAAGTGAATGTAAATGAACTAGCAGTCTAGATTTACCAAAGTTCCTGGCTGCCTACAGATGCAAACTAGTTTCTTTGTAGAAACTCTCTGTATCTACACGAGTCAGAAACCTAGCTCTTCTAAATAGCTCTAAATGGAGACTGTGAACCAAGTCATGTAGTGCTTGCTTGGGAACTACTTGTTTCTTAAAGCAGCTTCATATATCTGGTTTGCTGTCATTTAGAGAAAAGATCAAGGAAAGTGCCCTTTCTGATGGCTGTCTGTATAAAAAGCAAAGCCTGAATGATATTTTCCAAGAAAAAAAGGAGAAATTGCTTTCTTATTTTTAGTAGCACGATGTCTAATGTTCAAGGCTCAAATGCTCTGCTGCCAAGCAAAAGTACTGTTTTAKCATTTCAACACGAAATGACCAGAAGTCATTTCACTATGTAAATTCCTCAACAAAACATGAAGTGGTGGCTTAAATCCACCCCTGTGGAACAAGATTATCTTCAAATATGCCAGCACTACTACTAAAAATTATTTGGGAAATAATTGCATTGCCTACCAACTTTCATTTTCAGTGAGGGGTTAAGAAATTTCTATTCCTTGTCAAACTTCCTGTGTGTGAAGGCCCTCATTTGAAAAATGTAGTTTGGTTTTTGATGAGAGTTGGGCTTAATACGGTAAAGTTAAAGCCTTATCTGTGCTTGCAGGGACAACGACTAATTGCAGGAAAGGGTTGCATGTTCTGGGGCATTCCCATCACCTAAAGGTAAGAATTAAGGGTAGGTGTTGACATTAGGAGGATCGTTTCCTCAGACTCTTTGGCTTAGGAACATCTAAGTTAGGTTCCTGTTCTGAAAAATTTCTTTGGCTAAGTCCCTCTCCCTCAACTTTTGATATAGAGAATCATACAGAGACTAGAGTGCTATGACATGTACCTAGCTAACCTATGTGCCAGAAGATGGAAAAGTGGATCTTCCTGCTACCCACCCATGCACCTCCTGGGTGAACATGCATGGACGTGTAAGAAAGGAAGAGGGTGACAGTTTGCTCTGAGGTGAGGCTGACAGCCACTGTCAAGGATGTTTGCTCTCTCTTTACCTGTTGTGAGAAGCAGGACTTTGCTGATTGCTCAGTATAACCAAACGAAGGCCCTTCGAAAACAGCAGTGGGCAGCTTGAGAACCTCTCGCAGAAACAGGTCGTATTTGCCATAAACCATCACTCCGCTGGAGTCTGAAATCATTGAGAAAATATCTGTGGGGAAAACAAGACAAGAGAAAGAGAAGGCTACTTCAGTTCAGGCTATGGGTTTGCTCTTAAGTTGAGTAATATGGACTTGAACCAAAAGCTATAAACAACTTCTGCTTATGGAAACCCCCAGCACTTCTGTACCTTTATTTTAACCCTGCTTAACAGAAACCAAAGGAAATGATACACAAAATAAAGTAGCTTATTTTAGCATTAAAATACCCCTGTTCCTTACGTGGCACGTGGTCATTCCTTTTAGTGAGGTCTGATGCACTGCATGAGGTAGTGCTTCCATCAGGGAAGGAAGGGGGATGTAATCTGACAAGATATGCAGCACCAACTTCTTGCCTAGGACCAGTTCAACACATCTAAATCTTACCAGTGAGCTCATTAAGTTATTTTTTTGTTCTGGACACCCAAGAAAATGCAGTATTTAACTTTTTTTTTTTTCTGTTGTTCACTTGCAAGAATACTCCAAAGTTTTATTACTTCAGAGATGCACATTTCTCCTTTCTCAGCCTTCATTTTTCCCCTTATATAAAGGGATCCTAAGATCTGCAGGAGATCACTGACCAATGGGCATTTGTCATTTGTCAAAGAGTGATGGCAATGGCTTCCATCCATGAACCTGCAACTATTCTACAGACAAGACCCTGGAACCACTAGTAGAAAGTCAGCATCGTACCCCAGCTTTCCACCGGATAGACTCTGCTCYTTGTTCTTAAATTGCCCTAGAGAACAAACTGTGTTCATTTACACTGTTCTATATTTGAAGAGCTCCCGAGAAACAGCATACTAAAAAAGGGTACCAAACCTGGAAGCCTAAATTAGCATCTGGGAATCTCTACTYGTCAAATCTAATCAACACCAGTTTGCAAACTTCTTAATTTCCTCTGGCTGTGGAAGAAGGCTCAGAGGAGGCTGAATGCTGACATTAACCCTTCAGTCAAAACGTCTAGAAAAAAGATGTCCTTGACCTAATCTCAAGACATGATAGTGCTGATCAGAAAAGTGCTGCTCCATCTGAGCTGTTGTCTTTGAGAACTAGAAACAGATCCTGTGAAGTGAGAAGCCATTCCGCAGAATACATGGAATTAATTTGTGCCCTAGGGTATATAAATATAAATATAAATATAAATAGTGCATAATAATATTGTACTTTTAAGTGTGAAATGAGAGACATTATTTAAAAAAAAAAATTGAAGTAATTGCTAAATGATGCTTCATGAGGTTGAATACCTCAGACACCTGACTGTACCCTGAATCATCCCAAAGAAAAAAAAATTTCACCAATTAGAGCTAAAATATATGTGACTAATATTCAAAACTACTAAATCTGTTGTGAAACTCATTCAAAGAATTAGCTGGACTTACTTAGAGCTAACTCAAACCTCAAACCCGCAATGAAACTCTAAGTTACTATAATTCCATTTTCTTACCTGTACTGTTTTCTCTTCAAGTATAATAAGGATTAGCAGATAAATATGCCCCCCAGAAGACTTACATCTTAATTTGTCCATGATCTTTCCTCCACAAAGAGTCGCCAAGGCCATTTTGACAGCAAAAACGGAAATTTTACCATGTCCTTCCCTGTTCAACAGGAGAAAGTAGTCATATTTAGCAATAAGGACAAAATTCCATTTAATGCATATTGCAATGTACAGTACATGTAGATTCACACAGGAAGATGTAAGACCTTCAAAATCAGTTTTTGTTGAACATACAGCACATGTCACAATCACGGCCATCTTAACCTGAGCGTATCGTGTATTTTCTGTCCCTAGGATGAGTGAAAAAGTCATCACTCTGGGTAAAACAGTGAAAAAAACCCCAGCAGAATTGTATGATTGCACATGCTGGCTACTGTATCCCTTAATAAGTCCAATTAATTGACTTTCGAACGGCACATGTGACTTCTGTGAACTTGTTGCAATTATTTTATTGAAAAGTGGGCAATGAATCTGCATCCAGAATAAGCAAAAGCGTTTGCTGTGACATGCAGAAGGTCCCCAGTTTGGTCACAGTGTGGCTATGACTGGCCTCTCCTCTGGCTTGCATGTCTGCTATTTTCAACTGGAAACAAAGAGCATTATTAAATCTTTCAACCTAAAATAGACAGCATTATTCCAATTCAGATACACACAAGATATGCTTTTTTTTTTTGCCCTCATGGAAGCATCAGCCCGTAAGTGTTGCACTCCTAGGGCACCGCTATCTTTAACACATTGTTGAGCTCTTCATTCCCCAGGGTTAAGCATAAATGGCAGAACATCATCATCCCTCTCGCCATCTCCTCCCATCCTCCCTCCACAGCCCCTACGGACCCCAGTCAGGAACTGCCACTATGGAAATCCTGCTATATTCCAACTGCATGAGTAAAATACCCCATCACACAGTGCAAGGCATTCCTAMCTCCCAGAAGACCTATACACCTTTGGCTTAGGCAAAACTCAGTACAGTGTCCACAGGAATGGCAGAATGGAAATACTAGAAGGGTCAGTCCCTTTCAGAAGGTGAAAAAGAAGATGTTTTCTAAAGTTCATCTGCTTTTTAATATTTTTTTTTTTTTTTTTTGGCATCCAAATGTTGAAATATGAGGGTCTTTTTTTTGGAGTTTTCAGAGTTTTCCTATAAGGCAGTCACAGTCAACAGCTGCACTGCAGCAATGTTTATTTATCTTTCAAACTCAGCATTATTTAATTGCTTTGTATAGGTACATTTAATGATATCATAGAAGATGTACTGTCACCATGATTTTAAAAAACACATTGTCTGCTGGTATTTGCCAGCTTAACCCAATGGCAACTGCCTCTCCTTTCAGATCCTACCACTAGGGCTAATAATGGGACCAGATGATGAGATTTTGTGTCATTGCAAGGAAGGGGAGTTTCTGTGACCTTCAGCCTCTATTCTGATATTATATCTAAAGGAGATTTCCTACAAAAATAGATACAACTATGTATTGCACAAGATTCTTCAGCTGCATCAGCAACAACAATGTATGGAAATTTACCTCTCCATCAATATTTATGAAATTACTCTGTTGCTTTTCATTTGTAATTTTAATGAAGAAAATAGCATCTGATCAGGGCTAAAAGATAACACAAAGCCTTTGACTGCATCTCTCTGCTTATCTCAAACCAGACTTACACAGTGGCACACACAGCAGATGAATTGTAGATTCATTTGGGCATATTAAAGCACGCTCCATGCTTCACTGCTACAGYTGCTCTAAGTCGCTCAGACTTTACAAAATGAGTCCATTCCCCAAGCTTGACTAGCTAATAGTGTTTACAATTCAGCGGACTGGATTTAGTTTCAGGTCARTGTAGCACAGGATTCTAAATATTAAGTCTAAATATTTTTATATGCATTTAAAAACCTGCTTTTTGTCAGAAAATCAACTAGGGATGCAGACAAAAAGAAATAAATTCAGCATTTAAGAAAGAAAAATCTACCATTTTTACTATATTCTTCAATGCTGGGCTTGGTGTGCCTTTTCTTTTTCATTACTTCMTAAGACTAAAATCACAATATAAATATCTTGAATCTATTTCAGTCTCTTGCACTTCCATTCTTCAGTGGCTAGATTCTCATTTGTGCAAACYGACACTTCACAGTGCCAGCTTTATGACTGAGAATTGGGTCCTTTTCTGTTCTTTCAGTGCATGATAACCCTTARATTTTTGGGAAATTTTCTGCACTCAGTGTATATCATGACATTTCACCTGCTTTTAAAGGAGTTATTAGCGTTCAGAAAAATAAACGCTCAGTGGAAGCAGCTGCACTATTAAGAAGCAATGAAAGAACTGGATGAAGAAATTACGCCATACGGAAATGCATCAGATTCAGGTATTTTCCCCAGTAGATTTAGGTACATTTACTAACAAGATTATATTCTTGAATGGCAGAGGCATGAACTCACCTTCAGCTTTCCACCCCAGAGCCATTGCCTTTTCCCCCATTCAAACAGTTAGGGAATAGAGAAATAGAAACAGTGAGGATTTAATTTCTCTCTTCAGTCTCTCAGTTTGATTAGTTTTGACACTCTATTTTGGATCAGTCATTTGTATTAATAAAACCATCACTAAAGAAAGCATTCAATTTGCCCCCTGAAAAACATGTGCATGCGTGTTTGTGTGCATATGTACAGATCCGTGCATATATAAACATATATGACTGATGAATAGGCAGGATACYGAGGCCTAAGACTTTCCAATATCACTTGGAACCAGAAATTCCCTAAGCTGCTGCTGAGCACTACAGATCTCCTTCACTGGCAGTACTGGGGTGTTCACTGAAGCTTCAGCAAGTGCTTAAGCAGTGACATAAAAGCAGATGCTGAGGCAGKGGCTGACAGCAACATGCAGCTCCCTATTGAACTCAGTGCTCCCTGAGTGAAGCTCTAGGCTGGCTAATGCAAAGAGATGAAAATGTTACTAGTGGGAATAGGAGAGGAAAGAAAGTATTTCGGTTTTATATAGCAGCTCTCACACTGAAGTTACCTTCAGATCCCTACAGAAAAGCACTAGATGCATTAAGGATAGCAAAGGCAAATCTTGGCAGTTGATGGGCACTTAGCAGCAAGATGGGACAGAGTACTTAGGATGGTGGCAGGAGCACTAAGGTTATTTCCTGCTGCTTGGGATAAAAAGGAAAAAAAAAGGCAAAAAATGATGTATGCCTTTAGACACTAGAGCAGAGTAGACCGTTTCCTGTTTAAGTGTATGCCTACAGATAGGGACTGTCTTTCTCCAGAGCTAGGAAACACCATAGGCTGTCTGACAGAATCCACAAACTAGTTAAAGTTAAATCCCTAAATGCAGGGGTTAGATATATAGCCTTTTAGTTCAGTAATAACAGTGATAGCAAATAACTCCGGAACTTGTAAAGATTTCCAGCAATATGCATACTGAGAGTGCTGTAAGTGAAAACCTGGTGGGGAAACTGTAAAGAGATAACACCATGTCTTTACAAGCAGCTAACTCAGCCCATTAAATGGGCACTGAGAAAATACATTTTTTCTCATTAACTAGGCATGAAGTATAAAGATTTCCCTGGTGCTCCTCCAGCTTTAAGTTATGTTATCTTTTCCAAAAGTAAGAGAGTAATTTCTTTCGTTACTTGTGGGACTCCTACCACCCACCTTAATTATGGCAGGGAATTATCAGAGGCTATAATTTAAAAAATCCCTTTTTTTTTTTTTACAAAGAGGTTTCAGAATGGAAAAAGCAAATCTCTGAAATGCAGTTTTTGCAGGACTTCTTTGTTAAAGGCCAGCTGGACTGTATCATATCCAACAAACAGCAAAGCTGGAGAAGAGGGAATTAAACATTCCACAGCTTCATATAGACAGATAAACAAACAGGTCACTTCCAAGATAGGTGCTCAGCATACTGGTATGGAACTCCCTATGTTTCAATTTGTGCCTATTGCCTCTTGTCCTGTTGCTGGTCACCACTGAAAATAGCCTGGCCACATCCTCTTGACACCCTCSCTTAAGATATTTGTACATACTGATAATCTCTCCCCTCTGTCTCCTCTTCTCCAGGCTGAAGAGTCCCAGCTCTCTCAGCCTTTCCTTGTATGAGAGATGCTCCAGTCCCCCAGTCATCTTTGCAGCCCTGCGCTGGACTCTCTCCAGTAGCAACATGTCTCTCTTGCACTGGGGAGCCCAGAACTGGTCACAGGACTCCAGAAGTGGCCTCATCGGGGCTGACTAGAGGCGGAGGGTGACCTTGCCTGACCTGCAATGCTCTTCCTAAAGCCCCTTTGGTCTTCACCATTTGCCTTCTTGGCCACAGGGGCACTTTGGTGCCTCATGCTCAACTTGTTGTCCATCAGGACTCCCAGGTCCTTCTCTGCAGGGCTGCTTTCCAGCATGTTAGTCCTCAACCTGTACTGGTACATGGAGTTCTTCCTCCCTTGGTGCAGACCCAACTCTCCAGGCTGTCCAAGCCTCTCTGAATGGCAGCACAGTCCTCTGGTATATACCTTTGCTAAGTGCATGGTGTATCTTCTGTTCCTAGAAGACTGCAGGTGAGTGCAACTTCATGCGACATCTCTACGTACACTTCGACTTTAATAGGATTCTAATGTACATTTGATTTTAAAATGGCATGAATATTTCATCTTTTCTTTGTAGAAATTGAGTCCTTGCATTTGGATTTTGTGAGTTTCACAGCCTAGAGCTTGTAGCTCCATTCTTAACACAAGTATGTCAAGTGACAGGGAAAATTACCTGTTATCTCCTTGTCAGTTAAACTTTGCAGCAAAAGTAATGGTACTGCAACAGTAAGTAAGTGCTGAAGATGATCTAACACAGTATATTTACAGTCTCTTTAAAACTAGACTTTTAGGACCTGCTTTACAAGGTGAGGCTGATACCCCACGTTGCCAACTAGCTAGATGTTGACAATGGCCTGGACTGAAATTTTGAGAGGTTTGTCTTTGCCTCTTACTATATGTAATTATGTGAAGGACATTTGCTATTATTTTAGAACCCCAGTTAATAACCTTATTCACTGAAGCAATGCTACTACCCACATATGCAGCTAAACATGTAAATTAGGCATGTTGTTGTCCAGCTTCTTGAAAGTGCAACCTTGTCACTGTTCTCATTGCTTTGTTTGTTCTGCTTTGTTCTGTTTTCTAGTTTCTCTGTTTCTCCAGCTTTTCTACTGTGTGACAGAGATTTCCACAGACTAACAGAAAATTAAGGGGAATAGAATTTCTGTTCATGAATTCTAATATTATTAACTTTCAGTTTTATAAGGTTCTATTTTGGTTGAATGTGAAGGCTAGAGCGGAGCATCACACCCAAAGACACATGAAATCTCTCCATTTCTTTCTCTCCGCTAGGCAGCAGGAAGATATAGTTATCTGAAAGCCTAAGAATCTAAGGCCTGGGGTTCCTAAAGTCGGGGTGAATTTTTAGGACATTGAGCAAGCTGGCCCATATGCCATGGCTCTGTGCCACATGCCACTGTGATTCCTCACAACTTTTACTAGCCAGGGGCTAGCTCTTGAGCCTCTCAGGCCTACGGGAACACTCCTTAACAGAGAGCACCGAAACCTGCCAGGGTTTCAGTGGGTTATAAATGGAAGAAGTTTTGTTAAAAGCTTGGAGGATCTTCAGTCTATTACTAGCAGACCGAATGCTAGAACAGCCACTCGGGGCAATATCTATTAACAGCAGCCTCAGAAATGACACAGCGGTAGGCTTATTAAAGTTTAAATCACAGATTAACTTGTCCCTGGTAGTGCTTTCATATAAGAATATCTAAGTCCAAAAAATGCCTCTGTTTCTCTTTATATACCCTCTTTATATTTCAAATGAGACATAAGAAACACCAATCTTTGGAGGTACTGCCTGTGGTAAGGCAGAAGCAGGTGTCACTCTGCACAGCCACAAAGGTGAAAAGAAGTCTGTGATCACTGAGAAGAGCCTTCTCATTTATCAAGAGATGAACAGCTATCATGCTTTTTTGGATGACTTTTTTATTATTTTGGTTTTTTTGTTGTTGTTGTTGTCTGGTTGCATTTATAGAATCAAATCTGATCATATTAACATTTAACAGAAAAAAATAATTCTTCAGTAATATCCTGGAAGCTTTGGATAGCATATTTTGAGAGGTCAATCATTTGCTGAAAACATAGGGTTAAGAAACAACAGAGGTAATGGGATTATTTTAGCAGAGAATATTGTCACGTCAGTGTCTCTTTTTTACTGAAAAACAGCACAGGTAACTTTACTGAAATTGCCCAATGTCTCTAAACGAGGGAGTGAAAATGAAAAAAATACTTTAGTTTCTGGCTTCCATGCCCGCTTTCCCCCATATGCAATATTTGCTTCTCTGTGACCCTGGGAATACAGGAAAGATCTTGCTGCTCCTCCACTGACTTGTAGCTTTCAGCACCTTTCTTTTCTACTGCAGAGAGCAGCAGGCAAGTAGGCCCAGAGGAAGCAGAGATGTCAGATAGATCCAAGACAGCTTCCACATTACCCCCTCTAGTGTGTAGGAGCCATCCCACTGAGATACTGGGAAATTTGGGCTATCCAAGATTTGGGCTGCATGCTAAATAAACATCTGGCCTAAAATGTAGGTTATCTGGATAATACCAATGGTGGGATTCAGACTGCTTGAGAGTCAGGCACTGATATGTCTATATTTGTGACAAGCGGCAACATCCCATTACAATAAAGAGAGATCCAGCTGATACTGATCCCCACAAAGCCAGACATGAAGAGAAGCTCTGCTGAAGAGCTGAATTGCTCCCTGTGCTCAACAGACTATACCAAGAAAGTTTTCCTTGACTCTAAAGAGAATACAGAGACATAGCTTTCACACAGACACTTAAGCATAGATATCTTAGACCGGACCTAAATCTCAACCTAGTTGAATCCCAACTCAACCAATCTCACGCATTTAAAGCTGTGAGTAATATGCATCCCGTTCCTATCAGGGCGTGGATAGTAGAGCTGCAGGCCTCTTCCTGAAGTCCCYCAGGGTCTCCCTGTCCTTCTGGGAAACCCCTGCAGTGCTCCCAGCTCAGAGGCAGCGAGTGGGGAGGAGGAGCTGCTTGCAGAACAGAGCGGGAGTCACATTCTCCTCACCCGCGGCCGTTTCTGATGAGAGCCCAGAAATAGGTCACAAGACACGGAGCGCTTGATGTTTGCAGGGAAGGCACAGCCTTGCCCTTTTAACTGCACTCACTATTTCAGCACAGAGCAGTAAAATCCTTTCCTCCATTTTGCTGTAAGGAGCCTTGACATCTAGCTGACATTTCCACCCCCATTACAGCGAGCTACAAAGCAGGCATATGAGCACAGACCCAGCTACGGTAGTCATGGGCCTTTCCCCGTGCCCGTCCGTCAGGAAGCGCTCTGTGCTACTGCATGCGCCCGGCCACATCCCTTGTCACAGCCACAACGGCATAAATGGAAACGCCTGCTCCTTGTTTCACTGCCCTTGAGGTGACAAAAAGTGTTCCTGAAGGCTACAGTTTCACGAATGGTTGACGTATTGTTCCCCCCGTGGAGGGCAGGACAGAGGCTGCAGCTGCACAGGGGCCTCCGCAGCCGCTCATGTGGAACCACTGCTTTTAACTCGCCCGTTGCCATGGTGACTGAGCAGGCCTGGGTGATCCGGCCCTGAAAGGTGCCAGATCCCCGGCAAGAAGCCTGTGGAGCGAGAGGATGGGAAAGAGGGAARAGGGTAGAAGGGAGAGATCTTGATTTTAATGACTCACGGCCAGTGTTTTCAGCCGRTGAGCTTTCAAAACATCCACTACAGAAAGGTAATAGGCAGTCTGCATCTTTCAGACTTAACTRCTGTTCTCAGTTATCTGGTTTAGCAGATTTCAAATGTAGGCTGATGCCCTYGTATTCAGTAACACTAATATGTATACACAGCATCCTTGGAAGCTCACCCTCTCTTAAACTCCTCCTTTTTGTAAGGCAGGTCTCATGCAGTAATATCCAACATGAATTTCACTGCCAAATCCTGCTCTTTATTCTGCTTCTGCCATGGACTCGAAACCATGCTGCATGTGGGGTTTTTTTATTTATTTGTTTTTTGTTTTTCTGTCATGAGGCAGGAAACAAATTGCTACAGCTGCAAGAACTTGAAGGAGAGAAAGTTGTCTCAAAATACCGAGTTGTTAACCCATGTCACCACTAAGTGTCATACTACCACTGCAGTGGTGTGACTCACTGGTTTGTCAATGAATAACAACGCAGATAAGAAGTGGAAGCAAATTTGTGTCTATAGATAACTGTTCTTCAGTAACACCCAAAACAAGTCTGAGTAACTAGAGGACAAATGAGTAGGTCTGACTTTGGCTCAACAGAAGTAAAAATGGAGTTCCTCAATTTTAACTTCTGTTAGAATAGTTAGAAGTATTCATTTTTGTTATTTAGGGCAGAAATTTTAGCTTGTTCAACTGTTTTTCAAAGATACTTTCACAGCGAGCAAAACCCTTTCACCAGTCAGGAAAGGAAGAACACAAACTTACGGATCAAAGGCTGCTAGCAAGAAGTTGAGCAGCAGGCTGATAGATTGCTCCACGTTGATCTGGTGGGTGGTTGGCATCCTTTTGTTGAGCTGGTAGAAAATAGTTGAAATCACAGCCTCGAGGCGAGCCACGTTGAGCTCTATGTTGGGGTCCAGGTTATTAAGGGCATTTTCTCGCAGTGCTTCAATCACATTCCAGATGTCCACCAGGTGTACTAGGGTATAGCACACAGAGAGTCATCAGCGACACACACTCCTGTTATCTTCTCTCTATAACATCACCCGAGGCTGAGAAATGCTTGAAAGAATAAAAGCATTTTTCATCCCTGAGATCTGAACTCAGAGAGAGGTGAGGAAAAAAAGTCAAGAAAACTCAAATCTGTGAATAAGCAATCAATGAATTTATACTCTGAGTTGTAATGACTATAGCTTCAGTTCAGGAAACCACTCCTCACTGTATAAGTAGCAAGTAAAAAATGATAACCTACTGAAATCAGTGGAACTGTTTTTTTTCTGAAGCACGACTCTATGAATACTCATTCAGAAATCACTCTTAGATGTTTATTTTCATAGCAGATGGATTTTTTTTCAGGAGATCCTAGGAACACTAAGTGCTTAATACATACTGCCATGGGCATTTTTGAAAATTCTTTTCAGCTATTTGTACCAAAACCAAAATATTTTACAGAAAAAAAAGAACTGTAATTGAATCAGGGCAGACAAGCTATGTTTAGAGTTTTCTACATTTAGAAATAAGAAACATGTGATGAAGCAATTTAGTGATCCTAAAGTCATATTTTGGTCTTCTAAATACATTTAGCAAGTAATTTGTTAAATCTCTTTCTCTGATAGAAATCCTAGTTTTAAGCTGAATCTTATGGCAGCTGTTTTTGTCCAACGGGACAGCTTAAAAGACAATCTCTTCTCATCCCTCATATTGTATCCAAACACAAATCCTATTTGCATAGCATTGTTATTTTGACAATATGATCAAGTTACTACAGATTTTYATTCCAGAAGTGGAGGACTATGCCAAACATTACACTCATTCAAAATTTGAATTTAATTCAAACTTAGGCTCAAAGAATCCCATCTTTTGTCTTGAGTATTACATACTTGCCCGCTGAACTGCCAATAAAAAACAAATCATGAGATTCAAGGTGCAAATTCTCTTTATTACAGGAGAAAGTGCTGTATAGGTCACATTACTTAGCATGGTGCTATGCCTTATGACATATCAAGCATCACCTGAACCTGAAGGAATTGCATTTTATTGTGGACAGGTAAATCTAATTCTAATAATTATCATTATATTTTTAATTGCGTGGTTTGTAGGTAGTGTTTTGAGGGCTGCAACGTGGTGCTCTTGTGGCAGAGAAATGCAAGGCGACACTAGCTAGGTAAATTAAATTATATCATCTTTGTACATTATCTACTATTTTTTGTTGTGATTGAGTTATCTTATGTCCGCCCAGGAAAACAAAAACAAAAAAATCTCTAACGCCCTGCTACCACAGGTGTAGGCTGCAGTGCCCATGGATGAAGACACAGAATATAGTTGAGTGGCAACAGCAGCAGCAGCTGCTTTGGGCATTAGACGGGACAGCTTTCTACTTATTACTCTTCATTGGAAAATAATTGCGGGGGGGGGAATCCTGTAAGATACAGTTTCACAGTGACGCCTAATTGGTTTTTGACCTTTGTAAAAGGAAACTTTTACATGGGACCTTGTATGCTGTCATGAGGACCTCTTAAGAGTATTCTGAATTTAGCCAGTTAGGTGGTGCACACAGCCTCTGAACTCTTCCTTTCTTTCAGCCTAGAGGAAGAGCATCTTCCCAGTAAAAATGCTGGCATAGACCTCAGACCCTTTTAATGTAGCCATTCCTGGTCCCATTCAGCCAAGTGCTATCATACTGTCTCTAAAGTAATTGGGTAATTGGGAAATGAACAGTCCAAGGGAAGTCCATGATAACTGACTCTTTCTGAGGAAGCTTCCCCACATGGCCAGTGAAAAAGTTMAAGGGACAAATTAGGTAGGGAAGGATAGAAGTCACCAGAAACCACATTATGGTGTGGTYTTGGAGAAAAGAAATATGGAGCTATATGCCAAAGAGCAGCAAYAGGCCTGGTATATGYGCATACATTTTGGCATCTTATTAASAGGGAARATGTAAACAGAAAGCAGGAGGCTAAGCGTGGTGTTTCAGTCCAGTCCTAGCTGTCACTGGCTCTAAGGATGGTCTTTATGGCAATTCAGACTACGTAGAAGAAGGAGCAGGTGCTTCCACCAGCACCTGCTTTGGTGGTGCAGCTTTGGAAAGCTGCTTTGACCAGGCTGCTTTCTGGGTGTTGGGGTATATGTGCAGATGGTCAAAYGTGACCTGTAGCTACAATCAAAAGATAACAACAGCAGAAATCGCAAGGCATTACAGAGAGCAAAAAGGAAGAAGGAAGAAATATATATGCAGATRGCTAGCCTTGACTTGAGGCTAAACTTAACAGCAACCTTAGAAACAGCATCAGTAGGGGAACTGTCTTAATGGAATTGCTAACCAATTACCAGAAATTACCAGGGCAACAATATCACAAATACCAAATAAGGATGTAAAATCAGCAAAATTGAGGCCAATGGGAAAAAAATAAACAGGGACAGTTTGGTTGTTTGGTAGTGGATGAGGGTGATAAAGGGAAAAAGCATAAGAGGGGAAAAGGAAGATAAAAGGACAACAACTGAGGTCATTAGGGCTGTCTGGGGGCACGTCACAAGAAGCTCTGAGCCTGACCAGGACAGAGGAACAAAAGAATAGAGTTGTTCTTACCATACATTTGTCTGATCTACTCCTGCAGTCAGTGGAATAGCAAAGTTTTCCCTAGCATTGACAAGGGAACATCCAAGGAGGATAAACTGAGGAGGATGAATTGAGGGCATCTGGATGCCCTCAGTGACAATGTCACATAGCAATTTCACTTCAATAACTATGTCATAGCAGTAAAAAACACCTGAATCACAGAGCATGCAAGAAAATGCCTGGCATAAGTAGTGAATATGAAGTGTGGCTTAGTGTCTTTTTTCGTGATGCACACTGATTTTATGTGACTGTCTGACTTTCATGTGTTTTTTCTTTTCCCACTAATATTTTATTTTTCAGAAAACATTTATATTTAGAGTTAGCTTTGAGGTTGGTCCTCGAATGGGAGATACCCAGAGGCTAGCAGAGGTGGCTAATAATATCAGTACACTAACACATTTCAGGAAAAGAACATTGGCTGCAGTGTTAACCTTAAGCTGATAGCCTCGCAGGCTATTCTGACACTCATTGGTATGCCACAAAGATAGGGCACAAACCTAGATCACTTATTGGAAATTATATTGCAGTGGCTGTCCCCCACCCACCATAAAACATTAGTCTGGAGGAATGGCTGTGCATTTGCACTATAAATAAATTCAGTTTTTTTTTTTTTTTTTTTTTTTCCCCAAAAACTTTTTGGTTCCACTTTAAGCAGAATAAAACAACCATTCTGCTGCACAATTTTCTTTCACATTTTACTCATGAATTTCAGACCTCTTTACAGAGGCTGGAAAGACTTTATGTATGCAGAAAATGAAAGGTGGACACGCGTCAGGCTTTTCAACATGCTCTCCTGATTTTGAATATATTTATTTAAAGGGCAAGGTTGAAATCACAGGGACACCTCATTGCACTGTTGTATGGAGAACTCATGTCTTTAGCCTTTATTTAAGTCAGCTGTCGAGGTCAAGAACTGACTTCACTTAAACTTGATATCAAAAATCGGGTATCTAGTGTCACCTGCTGCTCAAGCCTCTTCTAACATCAGTCAAAGAAAAGGGCATCTCCCAGCAGCTGCTTGGAATGGGTGGGATGGGTGGTTCCTCAGAAGTACCACTATTGCTTTTTTGACCACTGAGAAGGCCTGCAAGTAAAATTAACCAAAATGAATCCCACTCCCTGTTCTTTAAACATTAAGAAAAGCTGTTTATATTCTAACTACTACATAGCCTACAATAATCCGGGCTTTATGGGAAATATGAATAATAAATATTTTAATCTGTAAGAACTATCAGATCATATCATAGTCACAGCCTCTTATTTCAGACACTCTGGCCTCACACACATTGCAATTAGATATACTGCCCTAGTGGCCACGTAGAATCCCTTGCTTACATAATAAGTAGACTCTTACATACCACAACATGTTGCAAAGTCAACCTACCTACCATTATTTATTTATCCAATCTCAAAATTACCTTAATCTTGCTGCAGATGGCATTTCATCTTACTTTGTTTGCCCATGCAATACAATAAATCCTGAACCTAATTTCCAYGATGGTTGCAAGATTTTGCAGTACAACTCACTTACAGATGCAAGAAAACATTCTTACTCCTAAAACCTGCATAAATTCCTTCAATAAAATCCAACTTTATAAATTTGTTCTTCCTTTTTTATTGCTGTGGCTTTTACTGCTTGTGTAGCCTTAGCCACATTTGCCTCTAAAAAGGGAGTTACTGCTCAGAATGAAAGAGATGCCTCTTCTGAAACAGATCTATTAAGCTGTAGAAATCTGGGCGTTGTTTTTCAGTGTCGTGGGATGATTGGGAGTTGCTCAGCAGAAAAAGCTGCATCTATCAAGCATCTGTGCATAAAACTATTCAAAATTACATAGCTCAGCCAGTCCTTGAGGACCCTTCAGAAAGGCCTCACACTCCTTAAATAGCATAGCTACCAGCTATAGATATCCCTCATTTGCCTGCTGTTTGGAAAAACAAAACAACAACAACAAAAAAAAGATGACTTTCACAGGCAACTGCTAAGAAATACATTTTCCCTTAGATTATTATTATTTTTAAAGTCATGGTTAAGATAAGCATCTGCTTATCTTAAGCAGATCTTACTAGATCTTCTAGGGCAAAAATTACCTGCTAATTTAACTTCTGTGAGATTCAATAATAGTTAAACTCTGCTATAGAGCTTCATATTTGTGCATGTTCTGTTACAGACTGTGGTTATTGAGGATAAGCAAAACCCAGTATCCCGACAGCAGCGGGACGGCTGCACAGCACTGCCCACGGTTGCCAAGGGCTCCTTCTCCGCAGCAATCATCAGGAACAAATGCCTACGTGAGGATGTGCTCAACGAATCACAGAGAATTAACATTATTATGCAAAAATATACCCCAAATGATTTTGTTTTC